AAGTCCACAAGTCTAAAAAAATTGCTGCCTCACCAACCATAAACCTCACCGCATGTCACTGGTATATATGTACATCTAGAGTTAATGATGGTGAAAACCATTTTCCTTAGATGATTATAACAACATATTTGGCATCCTCATAATGCCATGCAGACAGATTTTACTTGTAATGATAGAATTTGGAGATGGAAAAGTTGGAAGAGAATCATCTATGCCAACCTGCTCCAATGTACAGGAAAATCCCTTAAACTATCCATGAGCAAATGTTTTCCAGACTCTTAAAAAATCTATAGAGATGAAGGGCTCACAACTTTCATTCATTTGATATTTAATCAAATTAAAGTTGAGATTTCTATTGGAAGAAGGTGGTACCATCTAGAGAAAAAAATTATTTAGAAGATAGAAGATTTTTTTTTTATCATTAGCCCTTCTAACTGTATTTCCATGTGGAAATACTAACACAGTGACTCAATGAAATGACTAATGGTGCAGTGGAGGCTTGCAATTACAAATTGTTGTAATTCATCCCTGTACAAGTGACATTATATCCATGGCACAGAACCAGTGGTGGTATTCAGCCAGCTTGGACCAGTTCAGGCAAACCGGTAGTGGAGACCTGCAGGTGGGCCCAGGAAAGCACTATGCTGTCCTATTTAGCCACGTTTTCTAAGCCACGAGCATGCGTGGAAGGTGTGCACGAGCAAAACGCATGCACGGAAGCGAGCATGCATGTGTGATCAGATTTCAGTGTGCAGTGAACCGGAGGTAAAATTATGTGAAACCCACCTCTGGACAGAACTAGACAATATACAACGTTTGTGCTTGATGTGTTTGTGTCCCCTTTTGATGAATTTCTGGCTGGCAGTACTGTACAATTCCTAGCAACAGGTTGGTATAATTAAGGTAAAAGAGCCTGAATGCAGAATTACCAACATGCCAGCATTAGTAGTTTGAAAGACAATGGAGGTCTCCTAACGTGACAAACAAAACAACAGCTGTTATTTTATTTTTGAGAAGAGGGGAAAGAGATGTGTGTTTAAGCGTGGAACAGCAAAGGTAGAATTACATATCCTGTTAATGGCCAGGAAGAAAGCACTGATTGCTGACCACACTCTGAATTCAGGTATAGTTCAGAAAGGATAAGCTTACAGTTCCATTTGCATGCTAGATTTGGAAACATCTAAGTATGCCCTCATTAATAGCATTCTGGTATCTAAATAGATCTTAAAGTAGCTGATCCAGCCCATATTTATTTTGTGCACATTTTATATTGGATTTGTCATGCTGAATTCAGAAGTTTTGGAAAATGAGGCTAGTTGTCTGGAAAAACCCAGTAGAAATATATTCTGTGATCATGTCTCATTTGCTTATTATTATTTTTTTCAATTATGAAACCACAAACCTTGAACACGATGCTCAGAAACGGTTGCTCATTCTGTCTGAAACTCTCCTTTTTGCTTAACATAATCTTGATGTAATACCTCTGAACCTCAACTGTGATTAAAAGATCAGGATTGTCTGTGGGCACCTAGTTCCTTCCTCAGTTTTCTCTTTTTTTGTGCAAGTTTCCAAAACGTCCTCTAATATATTGAAGAATAGATGAAGAACATGGGCACATGATGATTGCGGAACAACAGTAAGTTGTGAGATTTTAACTGTTATTAATAGTAGTTAGGTTTGCTACCTTACAAAAGTTTCAGTTCCCAAATCTACTGAGAAGACCAAAAGGAAGGTTAGTTAAGAATAATTCTTAAGAGATTTGTCTTACTGTAGCTTGTTGAACCATTGTGTTTCTTTTCTGTGGCCTAGCTTCATGCAATATGCTAATCCTTCGTGTGATTTCTAAACCATGGTTTGTAGGTTTTCATGTCTGTTGTGTTTTGTTTAATAAACCATGATTAAAGATATAATAGGTGTATATAATGTATATAATGGACCAGGTAGTATGTTAATACATTTTCCAGTGGGACAACAGCACAGCATCAAAAATTAATTTCCTCACCCAATCTGTTCAGGTATTCTATCGAATGGATAGACAATTTCTCTCTTACAAATGTTGGTCAATATTTCTGGATCACCAAGCATGATCAATTCTCACTTTAGCTTTAATGGAAGATGCTGATACACCTGCCTTGTTGTTCAGAGCCTCCTTTTAGCTGCAATTTTGTTGGCATTGACCACCAGAGATTATATTGAACCTCCTGAAATGAAGTTTTAACAAATATGATATATACCAGCAAAGTATTGCAGCAATTCTTTAAACCATTTTAGCCTTACATTTTAAAATACCTTTAAACAGTTATATGAAACTACACAGATACGACTTTGATTTGGGTTTGCTTCCTTTTATTCGGCAGTGGTTCCTCTTACGAGGTGGAAAAAGATACTAAAAGATAGCAATAGCAAAACAGTAAGGTTGGTTTTGGAAACCTAGAGCAACAATTCTACTGCAGGAAGATCTAGGCTGGAGGGAAAAAAATCTGCTCCGTGTGAGATAAAGCCCTTTTCCACCCCCTTCTTTCTTTCACTTCTCATGATCTTGCTGCTTGCGAGCACTCAGAGATGACTTAAGAATGTCCAATAATGCTAAAGACAATATTTCTGTTCCACAGATTCCCTTCCATTTTCCCAATGACCCTGAAGTGAGGAGAACTCCAGGCCATGTACATAGGCAACACTGTACTACTGCTCCTCTTGTTGATGCTGATGGTGGACAACTCATTGACACATGGTAAGGAACACTACTAAGAAAAATCTTTTTCAGAATAATAGCTACATGTGCATGAATTGTCTTTCTAGATGCTGCATAAGGATTCATGTGGGAAAACTACAGCTCTATTTAGATATATGAAGCAAGGTATGGGCTTGGTACTCTTCATTCATATCTTATTAAAATTCTAATTCTGTTAAACGTATTTATGACCAAGTTATTAACTTTCGCAGGACAAAAAGCAACACAGAATATTTTTCAATTCTACTTTTTGTGTTTATGTGATTGAATAGTATAGATATACAATTATATGTATATTTTCTCAAGCTAAGTCCAGCGGATTAGACTGTATTTTCCTATAAAGCAGGTTTGCGCAGGCCAATTGTCTTAATTTAACTACAAACAAGTGCATTTTGTCAGCAAATGTTGCCAACAGATTTTAACATGAGCCAATGGATAAAAAAGCAGTTTGGATTTTAATTTGTGAAATGTGCAAACATAGTAAATGTTTATATATATTTTTCAAAAATACAGAAATGTGTTTGTTGCATTGTGTGCATGTGTGTGTGTGTTCATACATACACATATATGCACATGTATAAATACTACAAAAATAGAGATGATCAAAGCAAAAATAAAATGTATATTATGAAAAAAAGTTTATAGATTTAAGTTTACGTGCCCATTATATTCACTATGAAAAACCACTTGGGTATACTTTCCAGAACCCTAGTTTACACCTCCTTCCTAACATGTGGGAATTTGGAATAGAGCAGGGCAATCAAACTCCAGTCCCCATGCACTGGCCATGCCCATGCGCGGTTTAGCGAAGGGGGGGGGGGGAAGTCCCCATATGTCACATGATGCTGCCATGACACTGTGACCCTGGAATAGAGGGGTGACCCCCTGGAATAGAGGGGTGACCCTTCTGGAATAGAGTCTCAAAGGAAATAGTAGTACCATCTATGGTGATTTCAACTTGCGTTTTTTAAAAAAATTATTAAGGTTGGCCCTAATCTTGACTTAGCCTGGAGATCCAAAACTTCTTGAGCAAATTTGGGCGTGGTTGTAAAGCCAGATGGCTGGCCTGGGATGGGTTGTGAATTGGAAAGCAAGGGGGATCTAAGAAGAGAATTTTTAATAATAATAATAATAATAATAATAATAATAATAATAATAATAATAATAATAATAATAATAATTAGTAACGAATTATTATTATTAGTAACTAATAACTAGTAACCAATGCCAAATCCGGCGAAACAACTGGCCGCTGTGATACAATTGTATAATAATAATAATAATAATAATAATAATAATAATAATAATAATAATAATAATAATAATAATAATAATAATAATAATAATGACTTAAAAAT